CCCTGCGGGACTCACCCTGCCCTGCGGGACTCACCCTGCCCTGCGGGAGCCCTTCCCGGGGCCCCGGGAGGTGCTGCTCTAAGCCAGGTTCCCCGCAGCCTCAGCAGCCAGGTGCTGCTCTTGGCAGTGCTGCAGGGAGGGGCTGCAGGGAGCAGAGCCCCACAGGCCCGAGGGAGGTGCCAGTCTTGGACTGTTGGATTTCCTACATTCAGGAAACCTCCAGGAGGCATAGAGGGTAATGTTCTTCATTGTCTCCTCACCTTCCAGCCCCTGTTGCTAGTCCAGAAGGTGGGAAGGAGCAGTCGAGGGTGCCGTGGCCACTGAGACCCAGGGACCTTCTCTGAGCCTGAGCTCCTCCCCTCGCCACCTCTGGGCTCCCACTGCCACTTCCAAGCCAGAACTGTACCTTCCCACCAAGCATCATTAAAACATTCTAGTTTGTTTTCTTTTAAACGTGTTCGTGTGTGTGTCTATAGATGGTAATATGTCAGACAGGCGGGTACCCACCACCCAGACCTAACACATGCCATTGTCTTTTGGGATTCAAATAGAAAAGTTCTAGAGCCTCCCAGACACACCGTCCTTTCTGTCTCCTCCCACGTGGGGCTGGTCCAAGCCCGGCTTCCCCCACAGCCACTGAGAGGCCTGGACCTCCCTGGGCCCAGCGTCCTTGCAGGATTGAGGACGTGGTGCTGGCCTCCTGGGACGGGCGGGAGGCAGAGCGGGCTCCCACGCGGGCTCAGCTCCGGGAGCGGCTCAGCAGTCCCTAGCATGCTGGTGGGGCTCATGGTTTCTTTCTTTCTCTCCTTTCCTTTTTTTTTTTTTAAGATTTATTTAATTATTTTGGAGAGAGAGAGTGTGTGCAGAGGGAGGAGCAGTGGGAGAGGGAGAGACAAGCAGACTCCTCACTGAGCGCAGAGCCCTACGTGGGACCTGATGTCACGGCCCTGAGATCATGACCTGAACTGAAACCAAGAGTCTGCACCACCCAGGCGCCCCCAGGGTTCACAGCTTCCGTCCCCGCATCCACCGGGGGCGGCGAGCTGGGAGCAGGGTTTTCGGGGGTTGAAACGCCCCTCAGGCCCCTTTCCAGTTCCCGCCTGCACTCTCCTGTCCCCCCAGCAGCCAGGTCGGTCAACGAAATGCCCCTGGGATCCTGAGCAGGTGTCTCCCGCCGAGGCTCCGGGAGCCCTCTGTCTGCTCACCCAGTGCAATACCCTCACCACAAAATGCCACCAGTGCTGGCCACCCTTGGTCATGCTGACGTGGGGGATGCGAGACACGAATCCAGTCGTCACGACTGTCAACAGCTTTGTCCTTACAGGCCCTGAAATCTTTGCATGTACCACAGTTAACGTCACCATTGCAACGGCGGGACAAATCTGTGTAACCAGACCCAGACCATGGGATTGGAGATTTTTGTCTGGTTTTCAGCATATTCCAGATGTTGTTCTGGAAGCCCCCGAGGAGGAGGGCCTGGTTCTGGACCTCACGGCAGAAGTCTGGGGAAAGCCAGCAGGACCCGTCCCCACCCGCAAACCTGGCTGGGTGGTGGGAGGCTGGCCGAGGCCGAGGAGCGCTCACACCCCACATGGCGCCCACCTGTCGTCAGGAATTCCCCGCAAAATTCTGGAGCAGCAACATCTCATTTTGCAGATTGCAATTGCCAGGGTAGAGAAGGTCCCTGTGAAGCATGGAGAGACGCCAGTGAACGTAGCCGCCGCAAACTTAGTGCTTTGGATTTTAGGCTGATGGTTAATTTATCACGAGGGATACTTGAGTGAATGGAGACTTGACAGTAAAGAATGAAATGCTTTAAATAAAAACAGGACTCTCCTGCTGCCCACCCTCTGTCGGGAGATTGAAGTGGTGCCATTTATGGTGAAGAACCTTCTGGAAAGAGGGAGCCAGCTCGGCAGGAAGAGGAGCTGACATGGAAGGCCTCGTGGGAGGTGCGTGGAAAAGAACTCCGCGTTTGTTAAGCAGAGGAGAGTATTAGGAGGTGACCATGGACAACGAGGTAAAAACAAGCCTGGTGCCTAAGGCCCCGTGTTTCTACCATGATGCCAAGGCTTCGGCTCCAGTCCGGGCACAGAGCAGCCCCCACGGCCTGCACTCACGGGGTCCCGCCCACATCTGTGCCGCCAGCTCACGAGCACCCCTGGGACTGGGTGGGAGGAATGGACAGCAAGCCTTAACACCTGCTATCAGGAAGCGGCTTCTGCTTTAACTGGGAAGGGGCTTCCCCACTTCCCCAGGCCACAGACTGCTGCTCAGGAAACACTGGGCACCTGTGTGCCCCCAGGCCGTGTCCCAGGGGAGGGAGACACTGAGGAACGGGACCAGGTGTCTGGGCGAGGTAAAGCCAGGCAAGCAGTCATGCTGGCGGTGGTACAATCAAGGAGGGCCTCTCAGAGGAGGTGGCCTTGGACAGAGACCAGAATGACTGGAAGGAACCGGCAAAGGTGGGTCTGTGGGTTGCTCCGTTGGGACAGGGCTCACCTGATGCAGCGGCAGGAAAGGTGGCCCCGAGGTCAGGCCATGGAGGGCTGTGCAGGTAGGGGCAGCGGAGGCCCAATAACGCATGGTCTGGACCAGGATGCTGGGAGAGCGGAGGGGTCCTAACGCGGATCAGCACCCTCTAGGGGACCATGAGCTTACTGACGGCTGCTTTCAGACTGAGTGGTGTCCTGGCCACGAGGTCGGTGTAGTTCTCACTGTAGGTCGAGCTGGAAAATGTGAAGGCTGCAGTCTTTCAAGACCCAGTGAGGTGAGGGCTCTAGAAATACCACGCGTTCTGCCTCTTTGTGATGAGGCCAAGCAGGGAAGGATGCGGAGGGGGCATTGCAGGCCGGGCAGCGGCGGCCGACTGGGTCCGAGGGGAGTGGTGGGGTCTGCGTGACACCCACGGAAGGTGTGGGAGTCGATAACGGGGAGCTCTCTCCAAATCCCCAAATCCCAGTTGTCTCCAAACCTCCCATGGGAAAGTCTTCCGCTCATCCAGGCCCAGAAACACTGAGTCCTCACCGCAGGGCGCGAGGGGCTCCAGGGGGAAGCTGCAGGCTCTTCCTCCTGCTTAGGCGAGACACAGAAATCTCACTAGGAATTCAGCCACTTGGGACTTTGCGGACAAAAACGGGGCAGGAAGAACCACAGCTGAACAGAATAATGAGCCAGAGGAAAAAGTGCTGCCTTCTTAGAGCCAGTCACTTGAAAGAACAAGGACCGAGACAGAGTGTTCTGGAAAGTGGCCTAACATGAGGAAAGGCCACAAACAGCTCACGTGTAAAATAAGGGTGCGCATTCAGCCCTTCAAAGCAAGGCCTTCCCGTCCATCATCAGGAGGTGGCGCGGTGCGGCTGTTGGCATGGGTCAGTGCCCTGGCGGGTGAGAGGACAAGCGGGAGAGTGGCCCTAGTCTGCTGCAGGCCTCCCGCAGACCGCCTCGTCCTCCACAACCCGCCCCTGAGGATGACTCCGAATTAGAGAAGAAGGTCCTGTCCGGTAGAAAACCAGCATGACCGAAGGTGCCCACAAGCAGTGAAGCCGGGTCCCAGTGGCACTGTTGCCCACGTAGTTTAAAACTTGTTAACCAGTATTTGAGAGCTGTGAACGTTCTGTGGTCCCGCAAGGGATCATGGCTGCTCCCAACCACGTACGGGTGTGGAACGGGTGCTGAGGCCCCTGGTGAGATGGGACGCAGGACTCGTGGCCGCGTGGTCAGCGTGTCAGGCCCGCCCAGCTCGGCAGTCTGAACGCAGAATCCCACCCGCAGGGCCCGAGGCCGCGCTGCGTGGGCTTATTACAGACGTGCCTTTTCTCAGCAGTCTGAACCAGGAACACGATCTCAGCCGCTAACACACCCCACGAGTCAGGTGCCTACGCTCCTCACGCAACAGCTTGTAAGACTCTGGGCGCATCTCCATTCCAGCTCGGGAGCTGGTTGGCGGGAGACCCAGCTCCTGGCGCCCTGGCCCGGCGCCTGTCTCTGCTGTTCCAGCACATCGGTCCCTCTTAGGGACGTCCGGTTAGGACTACGGATGGTGGCCACCCTGTCCCGTGAGTGCCTGTGTGGGTCGCGGGCCCATCGTGGGCCATCCTCGTGGGGCTGTGGTCTGGCCTGAGTGTAGAAGCTGGTCTTGACCAAGGAGGGGTGACAGTAGCGCCCATCGCCGTGGGCCCTGTGTGCCGGGAGCAGGTCCGAGCCACTTGGATGGCCGGCTGGGTGGGGGGGTCCTTACGTGCCGGCGCCCCCTCCTCTGGTGTGGGACTTGGGGGTCGTGCCGGGGTCCACCCCAGTCACCAGCTCCACGTTTTTTGCGAGAACTGTGGGCAGCACTGAACATAGCTTCTTTCAGAACAAAACCTGAGGATGGCGAGGCCACGGGAGCCCCCACCACCCGTGCTCCGTGGCCTGGTCGGCCTCATTGGGGCAAAGCAGCGAGAAAATGAAGAGAGTCCCTGGAATTCCTTGAGGAAAAGAAGAAGAGCTCCAAGATCAGGGTGGGGCGTGCCACGGCCACGGGAGCCGACCACGCAGACACAGCACAGCCCTAACAAACTGGGAAGGGAATGGGGAAAACAACCATTCTTGGGAATCCTAACTGGTGGGAAGGGCATGAACACTGCACTCCCACGTTCCGAGCGATTGCGAGTCTCGCGTGGCTAAAGGAGTAATTATGGGATGTTCTCCCCCTGTCCACCCCCGGTTTCCTTGAGAACCAGAGTCTCTGTGTGAGGGGTGGAGGCACGGAAGCTACGCAGGGAAAGTTGATCAGAAGCCTGGAGCCTGGCGGTTCAGCCTACACCAGATGGGAGGAATTCACGGGCCTGTGTGGGCGGAGCTTCAGGGGAAAGGAAAGCCTACTGCGGGAGACACAGGGGGGCCGACCGCAGAGGTGGGAGCACAGTGCGTTTGTGGGGCACCTCAGAGCCCAAGGAAGCAGCGGGGCTGGTCTTCCCGTTCAGTGCATCTTGCTCAGAACTGCGGTGAGCGAGCGGCTCCTGGGAGTGCCATGTGCTTTGTTTGTGCGTCTTTCTTCAGTAACCGCGGGGGCCGTGGTGGAGGACCTGGGCTCTGAAGGGGCCCCGGCCACCGTTTGCTGTCTGAGCCCATTGCTCCTACCTGCCCGCGGCATACTTACCAGCCCTTCCCACGTGCGGCAGGGACAGTCACGGGCACTGGACAGAAGGGCAGGTGCGCGGCAGGTGTGGGCACCGTTGTCTCTGAGCCACTTTGGACCACCGTCAGAACCAAACCCTGCCCGGTTCTGAGAGTCCCCCGCCAGCCTCCTGCTCCGACAAACACCTGCTCTATGACCACCCGCGGCAACGTGGCTCTTCCCTCCACTGATTCCCATGCAAGAGGCCATCTCGCTCCCCTGCGTCCAGCTGCAGGACCCCTGACCCCACAGTGGGGGCTGCAATGGCTCAGCAGTGGCCCCCCCCAAGAGAACAGATCGCCCCCCCCACACCACTGAGAACCACCATCGACATTTTGCTTTCCCATGTCTTCAGCTTGAACTGGAGAAACGGCAGCTCATCTTCGATGGGAAAGGACTAAATGCCTGTGCGCTAGGCTTCAGCAACAGCCCCCTTCTTTGGCGGGAACCCTGACTGCCCAGCAGATGCCTGGACAGTCGTCAGGGACCTGGAAGGCCCAAAGACAGAGCTCTGTGACTAGAATTTGTGCCAGCACTGTGGGATCCGAGCCATCCCGAGGCAGCTCGGGGTGGACCCACTCGACACCGGACCACCAGCCAGGAGCACCAGCCGAGTGAGTCAGGTCACATGCGCATCCTGATGGGGAAGTAACCGTGGATACGGCAGACGTGGCCTCCCCCTCTCTGTGTGTCCCAGGACATTTGCTCTGATGGGGGAGGGACATCACAGCCCGAGAGAGAGAGAGATGAATAAGGCATCCATCCATCTTGGGGGGCGGGTTGGGTTGTTCTGAGAAAGGGGCACAAAGTGGCGGGTTCAGTGTGTGGAGGCAGGGTTGGGCATCTGGGGGCTGCCGGCCATGGTCTGGGGGGTGGGCGGTGGGCCTGCCCTGGGTCGAGGGTCAGAGCTTATCACCCTGGGGAAAAGAACCCAAAGTGGCTAGCTGGGGTGCCAGGGGCCCTGGCGGGGAAGGCATAGTGGGGCTTGTCCGTCCGCCGTGGTTCCCCGGCTCTGCCCTTTCTCTGAATGCACTGGAAGCAGAGGAGAGGGCTGGGCTGGGGCTTCATCCCTGCAGGCTCTTCCTCCTGTGGAGAGTGGGTGGCGGGAGGTGAGTCGGACGCTGCCAGGAGTGGGCGGCAGTGGGGAGCCAGCTCTGAAGCTCGGTTTGGGGGGGCACGTGGGAGAAGGAAGGGATCAAGGATGCCGGCCCCACACGAGGTGCCGTGGAGCCCAGAGGTGGGGAGCGAGGCGAAGGGCCACCTGCAGCGCTGGACCCTGGGCGGGTCAGCCACTCCTTTCCCCGACCTTAGGTTCTGAGCACCACTTCCTGCCACGTGTGGGTGGTTTGGTCATTGAGCCAAGGTTGATGTTTGAGATGAAAACGAGATTCAATCAAAAATCTGAGTGTTTCCCTAAATCTGGACATTACACGTCATGTAGACAGAGAGTGCAGTGGCCTAGAGTGGTCTCCCCACTGGCCAAGAACGTCAGAGAAGGTGAGTGCAATACCCCGTCATCTGGGCTGGAGGCCTGTGCCCAAGGGCATCCCGCACCTTCTTCCTGGTGGTTCACGGGCGAGGCGGCCGTCGGGTGTTCGCAGCATGGTCAGGCCTGGCCAGGGGTGCGGCAGCCGAGCAGATTTCTGTGGACCCACATGTCTGTGACCTTCCCTTCCAGGCTCGCGGTGCTTCCAGCCTCCAGCGCCCCGCGGACGCCCAGGCGTGTGTGTTCACCCTCTCCACCTGCAAGGCTTGATTCGGTTTCCGCAAGGAGACATTCTCGAAGGGAAGATAGCTCCCAGCTTTGCAGGAAGGATCACAAAGTTGCCCACGTTGGTCCCTAGGTGCGCTCAGAGGCAGAGGCGGGTTCCGGACCAACGGCCTGGCGTGCTCGTGTCTTTCAGGTCAGCCGGGTGGAGAGGGAGAAGAACCAGGAGCTGAGGCAGGTGCGGGAGCACGAGCAGCACAAGAACGCCGTGCTGCTCACCGAGCTCAAGACGAAGCTGCACGAGGAGAAGATGAAGGAGCTGCAGGCTGTGCGTGAAGCACTACTGCGGCAGCATGAGGCCGAGCTGCTGAGGGTCATCAAGATCAAGGACAACGAGAACCAGCGGCTGCAGGCCCTGCTGCACGCCCTGCGGGACGGCGCCCCCGACAAGGCCAAGATCGTGCTGTTGTCCGAGGCGAAGGAGGAGGCCAAGAAGGGGTTCGAGGCGGAGAAGATAAAAATGCAGCAGGAGATCTCGGAGCTCAAGGGGGCCAAGAGGCAGGTGGAGGAGGCGCTGACCATCGCGGTCCAGGCCGACAAGATCAAGGCCGCGGAAATCAGGAGCGTGTATCACCTCCACCAGGAGGAGATCTCCCGCATCAAGAAGGAGTGCGAGCGGGAGATCCGCAGGCTGGTATGTGCTCGCGGGGCGCGGGGGAGGGGTGCTGGCGGGGTCGCGGGGGGCGGGGGGCATGCGGGGTGTGGGAGCTCACTGGGTCCGGGAGGTGAGACCAGAAGGCCCACAGGTGAAGGTCATGGGCCCCCGGGGCTGTCCTGGTGTCGGTGCCACAAGGGAAGGTACCCACTCCGTCTGGACCGTAGGGAGTTGCCATCGTCGGGTCGGGAATGGCCAAACGCTGGCAGCTTCATCTGGGGCATCGGGATGGCTCCAGGCACCCGCTGTCCGTGGCTGGCACCCGCGGAGTCGACGTCCTCAGAGACCCAGAGCGAAGAAGCTGAAGGGATAGTCAGGGTTTGTGAGGGATTGTGGCTGATTCTCCTCATCCCTTGGAGCCTGGACCTCCTCAGTGATTTGGGGGAAACGGAGCTCGACTTTGGAGCCCTGTGTCCCCTGTCATGGGCTGTGTCAGGACCCAGCTGGCCGCTGGTCCCACTCAGGACCCCTGGGATGGGGTGCAGCAGTCTTTCCAACCCGTTCGGCCGTGCAGCCGGGGCACCTCTCCCTCCTTCCCCGGGCTCTGCTTTCCAGAGCCTGCCCCGGGTTGTGCCGCCATGTTGTACTTCCCAAAAGGGGTGCAGCCATTCTCCGAACCAGCGTCCCAGGGGCGAATTCAAGGCTTAGGAGCCAAACACAGCTCTGCCGCGATGTGCACACGGGGGCCAAACACTCCCAACCTGGACGGCCCCCCTCCTTTCCCGGACTGTCCCCCGTTCCGTGCCGCCCAACCCTAAGCCATGTGTTGAGGCTGCCCTGAGCCACCAAGGCGCACTTGTGAGAAGTGTGGGGTTCCTTACACGACAGGACGGCCCCTGCCCTCCTCTTCTGCCCCGGAAAGGGAGGGAAGCCAGTGTGACCAGCTGGCAGACGGTGGGGGACAGGGCGGTCAGTGCTCACTGCCCGGTTCCACGTGGCCCCTTTGTTCATCTCACTTGGACTCACCATCTGCAGGCTTGTGGCCCCGTCTGCTCAGCCGAGCGCCTGTAACAAAGCCAGCAGGTCCCTGTGCTGCCCCCAACCCTGCTGTGGACACCCCAGGGGCAGGTACTGGCAGCTCTTCTGGCTGATTCTTCTGGATTTTGTGCCACATTCTCAAAAACATGCTTACATGTCTACTTTTTTTTAAGATTTTTAATTTATCTGACAGAGAGAGACACAACGAGAGGGCACACAAGCAGGGGGAGCGGGAGAGGGAGAAGCAGGCTTCCCGCGGAGCAGGGAGCCCGATGCGGGGCTCGATCCCAGCACCCTGGGACCATGACCTGAGCCGAAGGCAGACGCTTAACCCACCCAGGTGCCCCCAAATTTCTACTTCTTGGTACCTCCGTTTTTGCTTCTTCTTTGCCTCCCGCCGATCCCTGGCTCTCTACCTCTCTGCTCCCGCTTACCCCTAATTGTCCCGGCCAGGTCTTCACGGGAGAACTCAGCTCCTGTTGGTGAGGGGCCGATTCGGGAAGGTGTGGGCCGTGTCAGGGGAGACCTGTGGGGTGGCAACGACCGCAGGTGCTTGCAGGGGCCCTGGGGGAGGGGCGGGTGACAGCACGGGACAGCAGCGTGGCCCCCAGGGGGCAGGGCCCAGCCACGGCCACCTCGGCCCAGCCGGGGAGGTGAGAGCACAGGGCCAGCATCCTGGGCCCCGAGCCGAGGGTATTTGGGGGCAAGAGAGGGTCCCACAGGATGCTGGGAACTTTATCTCGCCTTAAGTGCATATTCACTATTTGCACAACTGTTGCTGCGTTAGTGTTACTCACAAAAGACCCATAGTAACCCACGGTTGTATCACCTTTGTTGTACATACTTCTGTTTCCCCTGGAATTCATTTTTTCATTTGCTTAATCTTCTACGTACCTATCCCTAATTCAGCCCTGAATTTCCAGGAGGGGCATCTGTGCCGTGAGCAGTCTACACGTTCAGTCACCCATCTCCCTTGCTCCCGGGACGCCCCTCCCGGAGCCCTCCGTCGGCCCGCGCGGGGCTGCTTCCCCCTGAGCCCGCCGCAGGCCTGGCCTCCCGCCGCCCTGGGGGCCTCCACCCTGGGCTACCTCCTCCCGCGTCTTCCTCTTTCTGATACATGATGTCTTCTCCTGGTGGAACAAGTGCTCGAAAGGCATCCTAGAAACAGAGAGTGTGGGAGATCAATTTTGTGAGACTTTGTGTGTATGACATTTTTGTTCCACGCTCAATGCTTCAACAGGGGTGGGAATTATAAGTTGCAGAGACTTTCCATCAGGAATTTGAAGGCATCTCTGCCTTGTATTTTAACTTCTGCATAGCTGTAAGTGGAAACCATGTGATTCCTGACCTTCCCTGTTCCCCGGGTCCCTCCCGCCCCCACCCCGAAGCTGCGGGGCCTCCCCTGCGCCCAGAGCGTCCCCTGGAACATTTGTTCACGCCACACGCCAGGGGGTCGGCAGCCTTTTCTAACTGGAAACACAGTCCCCAGCTCGGGAGATGCTTGTTGCCTCCTTGTCTTGCTCCCAGAGGGCCCGGTGGCGAGGCGCCGGGCCTCCGAGTTTTGCTCTCCAGCCTGGCTTCTCGGAGATGCCCCCCACTCTGCCTCCTAACTCCTTGTGCAGCTTTTCCTCTCCGCCATCATAGACCGAATGCCCCAGCGTGCTCCTTCTCAGAACGAACACGTCTCTGCCCCACTCGCGCTCAGACACGTAACAGCGGCTCGTTCCCCGGAGGGCAGCCACGAAAACTGGCCTTGAAAGAGTTTTCTGCGGTTCCCTCCAGGGGCTGTGCTCCTTCGCTCCTTGCAGCCGCTGTGCCCCCATTATCCCAGACGCCTCACGGGGCTTGCGGACAGGCAGGCTGCAAGAGATGCTGCGTCGTGTTGGGGCCTCTCTCGGTTCTCTTTCCCCACCGAGGAATTTGAGTCAGGGCAAGAAGGTGGAAGAGTGGAACCAAACACATCAGGCTGGAAAGGAAGATTTAAAACTGTCTTTTTTGCAGGTGGTATGAGTCTGTAGAAAACCCTAAGCAATTCACCACAAAACTCCCAGGACCATTAAAAGAGCAGATTTTCAGGATGAGGATCAATATGCAAAGATCAGTTGTATTTTCATGCACGAGTGACAAACAGTCCAGAATGAGATTTTTTTCTAAGACTTTATTTGAGAAAGAGAGAGAGAGAGCATGAAGGGAGAGAAGGGCAGAAGGAAAGGGAGAAGCAGAGTCCCCGCTGAGGCTGGAGCCCGAGGACGAGGGGCTCGATCCCAGGACCTGGAGATCACGACCTGAGCCTCAGGAGTCAGATGCTCAACCAACCGAGCCAGCCGGGCACCCACTAGGGTCCTGTAAATGCAGGTTCCCAGGCTCCCCATAGCGGTTCTTGTTCTGTGCATCTGTGCGGAGCCTGCTCCGGACTGCAGGGCGCGGGTCAGGGTGTGCGAGGCATGCTTTCCTCTCCACCAGGACCGTTCTCCTGCCTCAGCATCCTCCCCTGGGGACACACCACCCCAAGGGCTGCCTCGGTTTCCATACACCTTCTGTAACCGGGAGAGGGGTGTGGAGGGGGTGGGCGTGGGGGAGTTCATGGGGGTGAGGGGCTGTGTGGGCTGTGTGGGGTGTGTGGGTGCTATGGGGGGTGGGGGGAGTGGTGGGGAGCTCTGGGAGAGGGGCTGAGGGGTGGGGGAGCTCCCTGTAGAGGTGGGGGCCCCCAGGACTGGACAAAGCTTTTCCACCACCGCAGCGGGACGCCTGCGTCACGCGCCTGCATCTCGCGCCTGCATCACGCGCCTGCATCTCGCGCCTGCATGCCCCCTACACAAATGGGCGTTCCAGGTGGGAGCTGTAGGACCCCGCCCTGGGCGTCTGCTGCCTGCTGCGCGCGGGGGGGGGCCCCACGGCATTCGGAGGACCCCCTGGGGGACACTGTCGCTGATCTTAAAGTGACTTTCCACCTTGGCAAAATCAAATCCTGTCCCTCCGTGAAAGCACCTGTCCTTGAATTTCCTTTGTGAGCCGGTCACCCCACTTGGCCGCAGCACATGACATGGACGGGTGACGTCTTAGGGAGGTCTGCTTTTTGGTCCAAACCATCTGCTTAAAGAGCTCATTTCATTGGGATCTTATTTTCTGGTTTCCTGATGAAAGAAGAGTGATGTTTTTAACTGTCTGAATGTGAGTGTCATTAGACCCCAGAACATAGCCGCTTAGCAACACAATTATATTTACTGGCCCCTTTGTTTTCACTAATTCAGTGTGTTTCTATGTGCTCCAGTAAATGGGAATTTAGCAATTAAGGATTTCTTTTATTCTGTTCAGTTCATCGCTTGCCTGTGAATTCTGTGATCTGGGCTAATGAGACATCTCATCTCTTTGTTTCCAAGCTGACTTCAGCAGATGGCTGATTTATTAGATTATTTAGCCTTAAACAGCAAGGGAAGCATCAAGTATCCCATCCTGTTCCGTTGTTTGAAAATACATTTTAAACTGAGTCGTCTTATAAATCAAGCACCATTTGTAATGACCCCTTGCAGCCGCCGAGTCCGTCCATCTGAGGAATGGGCGGAGGGGGTGTGTTTGCCCCCCACTCCCCTTCTGCAGCCCGGATGAGGGGCTCAGAGGCAGGTGGCAGCTGCGTGCAGAGGGCCATCCTGCAGCTGTCAGGAGGCCGAGCACTTTAGGGAGAATGGGGAGAGCCGTGGACCCCTCACAGCCACTAGCCTGTGGGCACGCAGAGGCCTGGGTGGGCCAGCTTCTCCTGTCCTCTAGTCTGGAGTTGACTTGTCTGGAGACCCCCCTCCCCCAAGCCTCAGCTCAAAGCAAGATTAACTAAAAATGCAGCTTTGCCTGCAGTCAGGCAGCACCTCTGCTGTCTGTCCACACCTCGGCGCAAGGAGAGGCAGGGTGCAGAAGAACATGAACAGTGTCTCCGGCTCTTTCTGGGCTGGGTGCCCCTCAGAGAGGAGAGGAAAGAGGCACCGAGAAACTTCTGCCTCTCATACCCACAGCCCCCCTGTTGGAGGACGGACCTTGCTCCTCACACTCTCCTATGGGTGGGGTTCAAGGAACTCGGGGAGTCCCCCTGCCCTGCCCAACACACAGCAGAAGGCAGAGATGGGCTCTGTGGACCCGCCAGCCAATGCCAGCCCCCAGTGGCCGCCGCCAGGAGCCCCTGCAGTCCAGCACTAAAGAGGCTGGTCCTGCCAGGTGCAAAGGGATGCTGGGAGGGATGCACAGAGTCCAGGAAGGAGTCTCAGTTGCACCAGCTTGAACTGAACCAGCAGAGCAGAGGTCAGCCTGGATGGGGGGTCCGGGGTGGGGGCATCATACTGCGGCCTGACCAGTGGGGCTCTTGGCCCAGGGCGACCTGCTTTGCATCCAGTCTCTGAGCCCGGAGACATACTGGCAGGGCCGCTGCCACGGGGACCCTCCCTATGCTGGTTCCAAGGGTTCCTCCCCCTGTTTCTATGGTAACTGCAGATCTGTACTCTGCCTGCCTGTGTGATTGTGTTCTGTTCTCCTTGTAGATGGAGGAGATAAAATTTAAAGACAGAGCAGTCTTCGTGCTGGAGAGAGAGTTAGGGGTTCAAGCCGGGCATGCTCAGAGACTGCAGCTTCAAAAAGAGGCTCTAGATGAGCAGCTGTCCCAGGTCAAAGAGGCTGATCGGCACCTGGGCAGCCCCAGACGGGAACTTCCTTATGCAGTCGGTGCAGGAGACGCCTCAGACCACTCGGGAAGCCCTGTAAGCACCTCCCCACGCTTTGCCCGGTGACCCAGAGTCACAGACAGCGCTGCACGCGGCTCTGTGGCCCTGCTCAGGCAGCTCCCCAGGGAGTTGAGAGCCTAGGTCCAGAGTCCAGAACCAGAATCTCCTGCCCCGGGGACACTGACCGTGTCTGCAGCCCACCAGCCGGACCCCGGACCCCTCGGCTTCTCCAGTTTGGCCGGAGGGCAAACAGACTTCTGTCTCCTTCCTTCCTGGCTAGCGTGGCACAGCACTGGCCTTCACTTGAACATCCCCCATGGCCCCCCAAGGCTTCCAGCTAGAGCCTACCTGCAGCTGCCAGGCCTGCAGGCGGCTAAGGGTCCTTGCTTGCTGTTCCTGGTTCCCACCGGGGGCGACGGGATGAGGCTGAACTACTTCCATCTCCATGCGCACAGGCTCCTGGCTCTCCATCGCCTGCACCCTCACCAATCACCCCTACCTGCTTTTCATGTGACCGTGCCACCCTTCTGCTCCCCTTCAGGCTGCCGTGACAGTGTGGGGACAGCCAGCAGCCGCAGGGCTGTGACATCATTCATTACTCATTGCTGCTCCTCATTCAGAGCCCTCTGGAGTGGTTCTGGGTAATCCGGGGTGGGGGGAGTCTAAATTCCATGGACCCTCAGTGCAGGTCCTGTGGGGCCTGCTCCCTAGCCTCTCCTGCACCTGCTGAATGAGGAACCATTCCTCTGTCCTTCCCGGACATGCATTTGTTTGCTTTGAGGACAAAATGTTTGAGCTGAGCCAGCCCGAGGACAGCGACTTTTCAAGAATAGAAAATAATTTTTTATAATCTTATTATAAATGGCTTAACTGGATTAAATCTTGCTCTGGCACTTGATGGATTGTGTTAACTCCAGAGAGATTCTGAAACTGGATCAAAATGTTTCCACTGATTTTTGAATGAGGTTCCAGAGGTGTCAAAAGTGACCTTATAGAACCTCAGTGTGAGGGAGCACACTTCTTGGGAAACCATCTTTTGAAAGTCTTAAGTTGAACATCTTTTCCTGTGCTCACATGATCATACCAGGGAAACTGCGACCCCACCTCCTTCGCAGGGCAGACCCCTCCTGAAAGCTGCAGCCAGCAGCCGCCCCGAGAAGGCCCGGGGCACCCACACCTGCGGTGCCTGCATTTGTACGCCCTGGCCTTCCACCTCTGCACATCCTGGACATTTCTGCTCCTTCGTTCTGTCCCCACCGTGCGGTTTGCGGTGCTCATGGTGGTCAGCCATCGGTCGCTTGTCCCTGGGAGGGTCTGCACCCAACCACCTGCCATGTGCAATCACGGGCGATCATGACGCAGAACTGCTTTCTTTTCCATGGTGCGCTGGGATTTGCAGAGGTTTTTATGCCTGTGTCTACGAACAGTTATTTGCAGTTGATTTTTGTTTTAGGAACAGCAGTTGGATGAAAAGGATGCTCGGCGCTTCCAACTTAAAATTGCAGAGCTGAGTGCGATCATTCGGAAGCTGGAGGACCGAAATGCCTTGTTGTCGGAAGAAAGGAACGAGCTGGTGAGGGGCAGCGGGGCAGGGGCACGCGGGTCTGGATCCTATGGGTCTATGACTGCTGGGGTGGGGTGCAGCAGGCGTCCACCTCCAGAATTCCTTGTGGAAAGGAGGAGTGATGGTGCCAGGGGCAGGGTTTGCATACAGGCCTCTCAGCTGTTTCAATAAAGCTTTATGAACAAAACCTGGTGGGGGGGGGTCCGGATGTGGGCCTCGGGCACTGGTTGGTTGATCCCTGCTCCATATTATTGAGCAAAAGTACCCTCCGTCCTGCGTGTTGTCTGGGATGAGTGAGGCCCTCCCGCCTCAGTGAAGCCATCACAATCACTCCTCACAGGCACTGGAATTTCCAGGTGACCTGTGTCTGAGTGGGAGCTTCTCCAAGGGCTCTGAAGGGTCACGGGCCAGGCGAGTCCACTGCAGCTCTTATTGGCAAAATAGGGCCTTGGCCCCAGACCACCTCCCTTGGCTGGAGCCAGAGCATGTTCTGGCCGGTTTGCCAACTCTGTACAGGGATTGTTGGCTCCACGTTACCCTTAAAATCATGTTGTGTGATTAATTTTGTCTTTCAGTTAAAGCGCTTAAGGGAAGCTGAGAGTCAGTACAAGCCATTGCTGGATAAAAACAAACGCCTCACTCGGAAAAATGAAGATCTGTCCCATACTTTACGTCGGATGGAAAACAAGTTAAAATTTGTCACGCAGGAGAACATAGAAATGGTAAGGGGCCCCGCCTGGCCCATGGGGCCAGGAGGATTGCTCACGCTCACCAGCAGTGACCAACAACCCACTGCACTTCTCACGTGAAAGGCTTGACCATTGGATCCCCCCCCCCCCCCCCCCCACATACACTGGGGGGACTGGAAACACCTGGGCGCTGGCTGGGAGAGGAGGCGGCGAGTGAGGGTCTGAGCACTGGAGGGAAGCGGTCCTGGGCACCCGCCTGGGCAGAACGGGGCGGGGAGGTCACTGGGCAGGTCAGCCCCAGGCCTGCTGCCCGGTCGAACACCAGGAGCTCCACCCCCGCATCTGCCGACTCTGAAAATCTCAGGCCCAGGCAGGAAGAGCCCCAGACCACCTGCGTGGAGGGGAAGGAGCCAGCAGGCCAGCACCGCACAGACCCGAGACTCCGCTACGTGCAGTCTCCTGTGTCCCTTCTTAGTTTAGCCAGGGTCATTCAGCACGACGTGGCGGGGGAAGGGGAGGGTTGGTTCCTCCCTCCCCGCACCCCACTGCAGAAATGCCTCCTTCCCACGCTCAGCTCGGAAGCCGGCGGGGTGTGCGGTGGCGGGCCGCCCACGCTGCCTGGTCTGGGGGTGCAGACTCGCCCCGCGCGCGCCCCCAGGGCCCGAGCCGACGGGCAGACGGGGCTGCGCGGCGCGAGCCCGCGGGCAGGGAGGACCCCGGCTCCCCGCCGCCCGACGACCCCTCACCCCACCCCTGTGACCGCGTCTGGTTGGCTTTGCAGAGACAGAGGGCCGGGATCATCAGGAGACCCAGCTCCTTAAACGACCTGGATCAAAGTCAAGACGAAAGAGAAGTTGACTTCTTGAAACTTCAAATTGTGGAGCAGCAGAACCTCATAGACGAGCTTTCTAAGGTGCCCGCGCCCCCTCGGCGGAGCCCCCGCCTCTCTCCGCGACCCCCCGGCGCCCCCTCAATCTCCGTCGGCCACGCCCTCCAGCCCCTCCTCTCCCGTCTTCCTCGGCCCTGCCCAGTCTCTCTCGCCCCTCCTCTCCCACCCCTGGGCTCTCTCCTCCCATCTCTCTCAGCCCTTCCCCTCTCCTCCCTCGGTCTCCCCCCGCCCGCCCCGCCCGCCCCTCCCCCCATCTCCCTTGGTCCCTCCTCCGACCGTCGGCCCCGCCCCTCCCCTGCCTCTGCCCCTCCTCTCCCATGTTCCTCGGCCTCCCTCCTCCCGTCTCTCGGTCCCCCAGTCCTCTCCGCCCCTCCCCTCCCGCCCCTCGGGCCCCCCCCCCCCCCTCTCCCTCGGCCCCCCTCCTCTCATCTACCCCGGCCGCTGGCCCTCCTGCCCCGGCCCCTCCCTGCGGGCCCCACCGCGGTCATGCCTGAGTGGCCCTCTACAACCGCGTCGTCTCCTCATCACTTTGGACCCGGGGTTTCAGTGACAGTGTGCCGCGGTGTTAGCTCCTGGGACCCCCGGGGCAGAGCAGCGCACCTGGGGACTTAGCACACAGCAACCTCTTCTCAGTCTGGAGGCCAGAATCCTGTCAGGGTGCGGCAGGACCGCGCGAGGCCAGGGTCCGTCCTTTGCCGCGGGGAAGCTTCTGGTGGCTGTGGGCCTCTCTCTCCGGTGTCCGCCTGTCTCCGCGGGCCAGCTCCCTGTGTCCCTCCTCCTCCCTCCTGCCCACCCTAATCCAGGATGGTCTCATCTCCAGATGCCCCACGCAATCACGTCTGCAGAGACCCTCTTCCAGAGAGGGTCCAGGCCCAGGTGCTGGGCATTAGGCCGTGCACAGGCTCTTCAGGGCCCCCCCTTAACACTGCCCTGTCCGTATGGCCCCTACGCCCCCAGCACAGTGTTGAAAATAGTCCTGCACCGAACCCTCCTCTGGTTACCCTGTTGGGGTCCCCTCGGGTCATTTCAGAGCAAGTTGCCTTGGTCATTCTGTGACCTCTAGGGGCAGCAGAAGGGACAGCAGTGTCTCTCCTGCTGGTGTGGCTCGTGACCCAGAAGTGCTGGCCTGGCCTGTCTTGTTGTTTTTAGTAAGTTCTATGCCCAACATGGGCCTTGAACTCAAGACCCTGAGATCAAGAATCACATGCTCCCCTGACTGAGCTGGCCGGGGCCCCAAGCCCTGCTTCATTTTGATGACTGAAGTTGCCTCCAAAGTAACGGGAGGTCCCACTGCCCAGCACAGGCTGTAGGGCAGGGTCTCCCCAACACAGCATTCCCCGACCATGCCTGCGAGCTGACCTCTTGTCTCGTTCAACTGCACAGTGACCGTCAATCCCCACATGTATAAGAACCTATGGGGGGTCGGGGAGTATAGGAAAAGGAAGAAATCTTGGTCAGGTATGATTGTGCGTTATCGCAGTTTCTGAAAGGCAGGTGACAGGCCCTTGGCCCTGAGCCGAGGGCCCCCGGGTGCTCCTGCAGGTTCCCAGTGCCCTTGGGAGGTCAGCTTAGGGAGGGAGGAGGGACCATGAGGGCCAGGTCAGATGCCCCCTCTCCAGGTAGTGGGAAGCGGTCAAGTTGAGGTTCGGGGCAGCTGCCAAGCTCTGGGTCTCCTGGGGAGCAGGTCTGTGCTCCCAGCTCTGTAACAAGCTCTTCTCTCCCTAGACCCTTGAAACCGCCGGCTACGTGAAGAGCGTGCTAGTAAGTAATTCTCTCTCCTACATTCACACCCAATGCCCCATGCACTTGTCCCTGGGACCCCTGGTGCTGGTGGCTCCTTCTAGTCCAGACAGAGGCAGCCATGCCAACACATGCTACCTGCCCAAAGGCTTTGCAGTGGGACGGAGAACACCCATCCATTAGGGTCAGATAAATGCCCCAGGTGGCCTTTGGTGATGCCTGCAGGAGCCAGCACCCAGCTTTGCTCATTCTTCAGGGCTGGTTGCCCTCCCTGGAGTATTGACCCCCACCACGGGTTTCTGCCCCGCCGGCGTGGTCTGGCAGTCTAAGCATGGCTGGTACATGGTCAGGGTCATGGAAACGCAGTGGAGCTCCCCGGGGAGAAACAGGTTTTTGGTCTCCTTACGTGTCTGCAGGGTCCCTTTCCAGCTGTGTGGGGTTACCGCTTCTCCAGACATCTGCTCAGAGAGTACAGAGCAGGGCTGGGCTCCGTCCCTCTCGGATTCCCATTTCTGTGTGTGGGCTGCTCAGAGCCTGCCCCCCAGCCACACACTGTAAGGAGGCTGGAGCACCCAGAGCATAGTGGGGCGACAGTCCCCCCACGTGGCCCGTCACTCCTTTCAGCCCAAGCAGAAACCACGCGCCATCTGCCCCTTCAGTGCCAGTGCTCCTGAGCAGGCCCGCGTCTGTGACCATGCAGACGGTAGCCCATCTAGAAACCACCCTCCAAGTCTGTGCAGATGACTGTGTGGGAACATAAACGGAACTGCTCACCCCTCAGAAAATCTCTTCCACTGCTTTTTGCAGGAGCGAGATAAGCTTTTAAGATTTCGGAAGCAAAGAAAGAAAATGGCCAAACTCCCCAAGGTAAAGGAGATGATGTTGACGTATGTGTACACAGAATGTGTGTTTTTAAAAGCCACTTAACACAAGGCGTTTCTTGTGACAGCAAGGAGGAGGGGTTAGCTGTGGGACTCTGGCCTTCCCCTGCCGGGCCTGGGAGTTAGAATTCCCGCATTGCCCTGGGGCCTGCAGGCCTGCCTCGCGCCCCCCACCCCCTGCAGGCTGTAGCAGGGGTGCCTCTGGCCCCACGCGGCCCTGCCCAGGCCGACCTGTGCCCCCAGGGAATCTGAAGCACAATCCTTTTCCATAAATGTGTGCTTTGTATTAGAGGAGATTCAGGAGATAGTCCCAGAGAACGTTAACTAGTGCTCTGCTTTATGCAAAATGCGTGTGTTTTCTTGTTTGGCTTTTGACCGCTCGGAGGTGTTCCTCACGCAGCCTAGGAGATACTCCTCAGGCACGAATGCTGGCGCGTCTGGCCCCCGGAAGGGCCCATGGAAGGAGTGACAGGGTGCTGGGGCTCTCTCTCCTCAGGATTATTGCAGAGCATTTAGAGATTTTCTGGAGGCCTGGAAGCCTGGCCGAGCAGAGTTCTAAGAGTGGACCAGCTGGAGGAGGCCCACCCTCTCTACCTGGGCCCCCCACCGTCCTGGCGCTTCCACGAGGCAGGAGTGGGGAGAAGCCAGGCAATTGGGATAAAGGCCAGGAGCCATCAAGATGGGCTCGGCAGCCAAGACAGGATGTTGGTTGACAGAGGCGTGGACTTGGCCACAGTGCCCTCCAGCCTTGGTGACAGGTGACCTTCGTGAGCTGGACTACGAAGGGGCCCGTTGGGGTTTCAGCACAGGGAGGACCCGGGAGGCTCCCGTGACCGTCTAGGCCAGGAGTTAGGGAGAGTGTCAGGGACACTGGCAGGAGGGACTTGGGTGGAGTGGATGGTGGACATGGGGTGAGGAGGGGACGCAGGTCCATGTCTGGACTAACTCAGTTCCTTTTGGCCAGAAGCCGGTTGTGGTGGAGACCTTCTTTGGATATGATGAAGAGGCTTCCCTGGAATCCGATGGCTCCTCCATCTCTTATCAGACAGACAGGACGGACCAGACCCCGTGTACCCCCGACGATGACCTGGAGGAGGTAGCCTCCACAAGGGCTTCTGGACAGGCGGGGGCAGGGCCTGGAGGCAGCGAGGATCAGGGTCGGGGACGTGGGGGTCTGCTGTGTGGCCTGCCCCCTGGAGCAGTGGGCTCGGGGGCCCTCCCTGGCTGTGCCCCCCAGGAGCCTGTGCTCATGTCCTTCTACAGTGGGACAGAGGGCTCCCTGCCTCTCAAAGGGCTGCCCCGGGGGGTCTGAACCACCCAGTGTGGGGAGGCTGGCAGCAACGCCAAGGGCCACGCCGAGGTGTTCATCAGGGCAACGGGCAGTGCGGAATAGCGTTGTCTCTGATGAAAGCACACCCAGCCTGACCTTCCCACCAGTCCTTCTTGGGAAGGAACCATCCTCAGATGCAGGCGGCCGGCTGAGCCCCGCATGTGGGCGGAAGCTGTGCTTGGTTTGGTCTCGCTGGCTAGGCCCCTGTGGCTGAAGGACAAAGAGTAGCAGGCTGTCCGCGGCCCTGACAGGCCCAGGGGCACTAAAGCCATGGGTAGGGCCTCCCCTGGCCGATCCGGGCAGGTGGCCCATGGCCATGGACCCACTTAGAGACCTAAGACATTGTAGAACAGCTGCTACCGCAGCCTTGGGGGTGAGGAGCACAGGGAGAGCTGGGGTCGGGCTAGGGTTCCTGGGCCCGGTCACTGTCAGGCACAGCCACCGTCCATACCAGACCTGCGCCTTGTTCTCAGAGAAGCAAGCGCTTTGGGGTCCCGGGGGGCCCTGGGAAGGCCGCAGCAGCCCCCTGCCTTCTGTCTGGGGCAGCAGGTGCCCTTGTAGCCAGAAGGAGGCATTTAGGGATCTCTGCAGGAAGGTGGGGGTGGGGAGGAGAAGCATTCCCTGGTCCAGGTCTCACCTGACACATCTGGGGGGCAGATGGGGCCCCCGCCGAGCCCCTGGCCTGGCTGCCAGCCCCTGAGGTTCACCCTGGCCTCAGGGCAGCCAGCTGGGCCTTTCCACCTGGGGGCTCCAGGCTCACCTCCCCGCGGCCCCAGGTAACGCTGCGTCTCTGTGCACCTGTCCAGGGCGTGGCCAAGGAGGAGACGGAGCTGAGGTTCCGGCAGCTGACCATGGAGTACCAGGCTCTGCAGCGAGCCTACGCCTTGCTGCAGGAGCAGGTCGGAGGGACGCTGGATGCAGAGCGAGAAGTTAAGGTCTAACTGACTTCTACTCCACGACATTCCGGCTCCCGCTGGGCTCCTCCCCGCTTGACCCCCGGCCTTGGCAGGGACACTTGCATTGCTTCACCTTCCGGGCCAAGCCCTCTCTCCCACGGTTCTTGCTGGGCCTGCCGATGCTCCCTGAGGCGATTAAGGAACAATGTTGGCCTGGCAGTGGGTGGGGCCTCCCAGAGCGGTCCCAGGCACAGGTGTGAGTGATGGTCCCCCGGAGAGCCACGTGTGTCCCCTCTGGGGACCGTGGCTGGCGGGCAAGGGGAAGTTTGCTTCCTCGAAAACCTTCCGGTGGTGCTCTTGGGGGGCTGTCCCGGAGCTGAGGCTCAGAGATGGGGAAGGGCCAGCGTTGCCGCTCGGTTCTGGAAACTTGCCAAGATTACTCCTTCATCCAGTACACCTGAGCTCAGCTGCTGTGCTCACCTTGACCCTGAGTCTCTCCAGGCAGGTGTCCCCCTCCTGCCCCTGCCTCCCTGGACCCTGGGCCAGGCGCTCATGCCCCGTCCACCAAAGGCAGGAGCACGGGGCTGACAGGTGCCCTCGCCGGCCCGCAGGGGAGGCCGTGGCCGGGGGCTGTGCCCTGCCCTCCCCTGAACCCCCTCCCCCACTCCCTGACGCGTGGCCTGCCCTGCCAGGGCTCAGAGGGGATGCCCTGCACAAGGAGATGGGCTGCATCCTGTACACCTGAAGGGCTCTCCTGCCCAGCTGCCCTGGGGCCTGGGGGCCAACTCTGCCCCTAGCACACAGGGCAAGGGGCCAGTCAGCTGGCTCTGGGACTCCGGCTGGCCGGCTGAGTGTGGACTCTTGGACGCGGGGCACAGTGTCAGTGGGGCCCCCTTGCCACATCCATCCTCGCTGCCTGGAGAGTCACTGGGCCTACTCCCTGTCAGCAAACTGATCTCCCTCCAGCTTCACGTGTATCACCCAGGCCCCAGGAGGGCGGAGGCCGGGGGTGGGGAGGGGAGGGAGAGCCAGGGTCCACTGATGTCATCCAAAGAAGAACCCAGGGCCAGGCCAGGGGATCCCCTGCCCTCCTCAGCTTGAGGGCCACCTGACCCTGTGCCCAGGTGCTCTCATCTGCCCAGAGCTGTTCCCAGGGAGCAGGAGTACTGGAATGAAGTGCTCTGTGGCTGGGACCCCGTGAGAGCAGCCCTCCAGGGAGGGCGGCCTGGACTCTCTGGGGGCCTTGCCTGCACCGGGCACTGGGGGTGGGCTTCCGCAGGGGGCACTGGGGGAGGGTGCGGGGAGGGGGGTCAAGTGCAGGCAGAATGTGGAGCAAGGTGATCCGGGACCGGCAGAGGGCGCCGGTGCAGGACGGGAAGGGCCGATGGCCGATGGCCCAGCCTGCGTGCAACCGGTCCGTGCGTCCTCCATCCTCCCCCCTCCGTGTCAGCCAGAGCCCGGAACAAGCCCCCCAGTGGCCAGCGCCCCGCAGCGCTCCACTGCCCTCACCAGCTGTTTCATCCCCTAACAGTCGCTCAGAATGAGTCTGTAGGGCGACCCCCTAAGCTAAGTGAGGATGCTGGCTCCAAGTGCTTCCTCCTCACGGAGCCTTCCCTGTAAACTCGAGGACGGCGTCCTCTCCCTTAGCGGAGGCTGAGGCCCCCTGAAAGCCTCCATCCCTGCGGTCGTGTCCTGGCTGCGAGAGAAAGTTTGATGTATCCCTCCTCCCGTCCTACAGACCCGTGAGCAGCTCCAAGCAGAGGTGCAGAGGGCCCAGACGCGGATAGAGGACCTGGAGCAGACCCTGGCCGAGCAGGGGCAGGTGAGGCTTGGGCGGGAGCCGCGTGCCCCCGCAAAACAGAGGGCGCCCGAGGGGCGCGGACGGTCCACAGGTGTGTGGGGGCCGGCGCCCCACTAAGAAATGCAGACACTGCGAGGGGCATGTATCAGAGGAGGGCACATCACGGCTTGACAGGGGGGCCTGGGCAGGCCTCTTCCCCCAGCTCAGGGCCAGGGCTGCCCCTGGAGACCGCCGGTTTCTCCCT